TTCAACACTTGGTTATCGACGACTTGAGGCCGACATTCATGTTCTTCGTCCTCCAAGCTCTCATTACCTTTTCTGAAACGCTGGAACCATCGTCGACACTGGCTTTCTGACAGGGCTTCATTGCCGAATACTTCAGAGATGGTACGATGAGATTCATCAGCCGTTTTCCTTGCTTGAAGTCGTACCACATGCAAGCTCGCAACAAAAGCAATTTTTGGTCAAGCATCTCTTGAACTTCTTTTCTTCAGAAAAAAAAACAAAGTAGACATAAACGAAAATGTATCAGAAGATGCGCAATAAAAAACTCTTCCTTGAAGACAAAACTGTTTTGAAAAATCTCCTCTAGTAGGGGAGAAACAAATAGACAAAGTTAAAGCGCATTCCTTTCCGAACAACCTAATACACCATGTCTTCGAAGGTTACATGGAACTTGCATCAAATGACGTTTTCTTTGGTTTCAGAAGGCGCCAAGACCTATTGTCCGTTCGAACTCGGATGCGTCTACTCAGCAAGGAGGAGCAGGAAGTACTAGTAGCGAGCAGTAGCAGACTGTTCTCCGAGAAAATGTCTAAGGAACCTAGATCGATTGTTGTATGCTTAAAACACATAGACCACTCGATAAACCTTGCTCTTGTTAACATTAACACTTGATAACGAGCATCACTACAAAGAGAAAATACAGGAATCCATGTTTTACTTTTTATTTTAGAGGAAGCAACTAGAGCTTTTGTGGACATTGTAGTATTGCCTTTTTCTAGTGGAGTAACACCGGTAGGCTACAAAAAAAAGCTACTCATACCCTACCAAACCTGTAACCCTAGTGATGATTGCGTTCACAAAGCTTACGTCATTTTGTATCACCTATGTTGAACAGATACTGTAGGAAGCCAGCTGTAGGCGTTACTATCCTCTTCGGTACTTTACAAAAGAACTTTTCACAACTACATGGTGGTTTTAGTGTTTTTTACTTCATCAGTAGATTCATTTTGGTATGCAATAGGCCACTACGGAAGTGGTTTTGTGCATACCAGAATTGTCTACTGAGAAAGTGGGGCGATGTGGAGATGGTCTAGTGGTAGGTGGCGCACTTCACACACACATATGGTCACAGGCTTCCCGGATCGATTTCCGCCTAAACTAAACAAGTCTCCCATCACTCCGACGTCGGTTAAGTAGTACCAGACTCGTCTGGGGGGATAAAAGCACTGATTTGAACATCGGCTGGCCATCGCAAGTCTGTCTAGGCTACCTACACATTCAATAGGTTACGACGACTCTGAATTGAAGTTGAATGCGTTGGCGCAACGTTCAGACGGGATTGATTTACGCCCCGAGACTTTATCCTTTTATCGTTTATACACAAAGCCGTCGATGAGGCACGGGTAGTGGAGTGTGACTGCTTCTAGGGGTATTTTTGCTTATTCGCTGTGCTCGGACGCCCTCGTTGAAATACCATATCAACGGTACACGATCACGGAGAAGTTTCACATGCTGGTCATATCGTTGCTGCTCACGGAGGAGCTTCTCACTGAGTTGTCTGTACCCTTCCAATCCCATCGGAACTTCAGTAACAACTGATAATGAATGATGATGTGTTTCTGCTCATGCAGGTTTATGTTGATAAGGTTTACGTGTTCTACTCGAAATGCGGTGGGGCGTTTTTCAAATCTTCCGACATAGTATCAAATTGGATATAGGTGCTTAACTAAGCTTCACCTCAACCGACAAGTTTCCGTTTGCTGCAGAAATCAGGAATGCTCTACCTATCACTTTGGCAACTCTGCCCCATTGTGACACTGAAAAGGAAAAATCGGTTAAGTCATCAACTTGATAAGGAACACGTTAATACAAATCATTGTGTCTCTAAGACTTCAAATAGAATCCAATTTATGGCGCATTCTAGTTAGAAAGCAAGGCTACTTCAACACTTCATCCTCTTATGCAGGTTGCAGCTTTCTGTTTATTTACAGAACTTACTCGTCTTCTGGGTTTTGATATGGTACATTGACCGTGGCGGAGGTAGTGTAGTGGCAAGGGGCCCACTATCTCACACGCGTGCCCACTGGTTCGAATCTCGGATCGATACCCGCCTGGGTCAACCAAGACCAAGCTTTCCATTCCTCCGGGGTCGGCTAATTGGTACCGGACTGGTCTGGGAGGATAAAAGCACTGACTTNTACATCGGCTGGTCACCGCAAGCTATTGAATAGGCCACATACGAATTCCAATCACTACTGCGATTATGAATGGGAGTCGAATGCGGGGCGCTAACCACATATGGGTTTGATTACCTCCAAAACACTTTACTCTTTCAAATATTCACCATATCTAGCTTTGTTTTTCGACCTTTTTTTCTAAATAGTATGCAGCGAGAATTTCTTTTTGGTTTCCCGGATATCCAAGACGAGTGAATGCAACAGAAGTAAGCATCGGAGATAGCGGCGACATTGTTAGGTGAATTTTGTGAGGTTCCGTGAGGCGCTTCATCACTTCTTTGTGTGAGATTTCGAACAACAACGGGGATGGCTAAGTGGACAATTTGCTGCCTCAAACAATCAGCGCCAACCGCGACGTCGCAATGCGATTGCCGCGTTTCATTACCGTATCCTTCGCCTAATATGATTGCGTTGGGCACTATGACAAGCCACGCCCTCTTCAATGAACTGCCCCTCCTCTGTCACTTCAGGAACGGAGCACCAGGCCCAGGTTGTCGAAACCCAAGTTTCTCCTCGAGTTATCTCCTCATCCACTTTGTTGGCTTCTCTGACCCGGCTTTTATCCCGGCTGGACTTCGGCTCCGGATTTTGGGGTAGGGACTGAAGTCATCTAGGTAGGTCGACTTTCAAGTACCACTGAAAGGTTGCCTAACTGGGGCAGATACTTTCCCTATTCAGGCAGTCTCAATCATGCTAGAGCATCGTTTATTAAATCTACTCGAAGGACGTTTGCAAGCTATTCTTCTTTCAAGCCTCATCCCCTTCAAGGACCGACTCTGCACGCAAATCCCTACCAATTGCAAACGCATAACCCTTCCCACAGGAACTCCTGCCATCCAAATCAGAGCTTGTGTTCGACAACTATTGCCATTTGTTTTCCCTAGACAGAGCCTTCCGTTGAGTGCCGATTACTGCATTTAACCGAAATCTCTGTGTTGTGTAATTTTCAGGAAATCCTTTGGAAAATCCATTTTTCTTCGGGTCCAGATAATTTGAACATAATAGATGTGAACGGTTTTTCCTGTTTGTCGAGGTATTTGCGTTCCTCACCGCCTATCACCCACTGCCAAATTGTTTCCTCTCGCTGACAGACGATTATCTATAACCTGCCAAGGAATGGGGTTGTCGCTTAGTTTGCTCTCGTGAGTAGCAATCTCAACACCCCTTGGACTTTATTTTAACCCTCAAGCCTGTTCCCGCACTGGGATAAAAGTAGGGTTTAGGTATTCCGTGACTGGAATTGCTCGGAACTGAGACATTCGTTTCCGCGTTCTGAACGAACAGCCTAAGCGTCGTCAGCCTTCCCTCCTACTTCTATCTCAAATGAGCTCTTACTTTACCCTCAGCAGTCACTTGAGGGCAAATATTTTATATTTCCGTCTATATTGTATACATCGTAATCCATTTTTCGAATTCTGAAAAACCAAAGCCTTCTCCATGCAGCCACTGCTGTTTAGGTATGGAACGACTCTGCGCCGATGCTCTGCGTGACTATCAGCGAGCGTTATTCGGTCTTGATCCCAACGACATGCCACGATACGGCCTTCCTCTCCGATCCGAACTGATCCCATCACGAAGTCTCTTTGATCCATCATCACTGTTCCCGATGTTCGATCAGCCCAAACCTCAGCACTCTTATATTGGTCTCATCGCAATGGCAATACTATCGTCCCCAGACAAAAAGATGGTCCTCAGCGAGGTAATCTACTATCTATAGTTAGTGAACTCGAATGTGAGTCGAAACCGAAGCACCCCTACCGGGGTCATAGCAAAGTTTACTAAATAGTTTAATTGACCTCGTTTGAAGGTGTACGAATGGATAATGATGCATTACCCTTACTTCCGCACACGCGGTTCCGGCTGGCGAAATAGCATACGACACAATCTTAGTTTGAACGATTGTTTTGTCAAGGCTGGTCGAGCAGCAAATGGAAAGGTGAGAAAGTTGCGAAGGAGAACGACAATCTTTTGCAATGATGATTCTCTTTCAGGGCCACTACTGGGCAGTGCATCCAGCATGCCTTCGTGACTTCGAAAGAGGGGACTTCCGAAGACGAAGAGCTCAAAGAAAGGTACAAAAGTTACGAATCATATTTCCAGCATCTTTTCTTATATCATTTTTAAAAATAGTTTTGATGGGTGGCAGACATCTGAAGTGAGTTGTGTCGTTGAAACAAGAGCCCTAGACTGGTGGATTCAGTTGTACACGTTTCTGTAGGTTTTCGAAGATGTTGCGCAGAACGTTTGGTGAGACGTTCTGTGAAGGTTTAGTGGTCCAAATGGTTCCCAGAGTTCCTAAATTGCGGGTGGACTGCCTCCATAAACCTTTCTTTTCAACGTGCCCCAAAGAGCTGGGGTCAAATCGGGCGATAACTGAGTCCTCGACAGATATGGCTAGCACCCACGATGTACTCTGCAACGTCTATCGAATTGCGGGTAGTGTGTGCACTAGATGCGGTCCTGTTGGATCCTGAACATTGTGTTTTAATGAATGACAATCATATCATTATCACTTGACAGATCTCAACATGACACTTCATTGCCGCATTCTAAACGCTAAACGCTCTTTGTAAGTATAGCTAGCCATGGCTGTAAGTAACAAAGCTGTAGCGTTCTTGTCCTTCTTCTAATGTATGTATGTAATTCCCTGGCCTAACATATGCTTGTTATTCAAAAGTTATTCCCGTTCTAAAACACCAGTGTATGATGCCCTGTTCCCAACTGTGTTGATATTACTTCAGAGGGCGTCAATGACCTGCATCATCCAGTATGGAACTAATAATAATTTTAAATTATTATTGTTTCTGGTGGGCGGAAATGGTATAGTAGCAAGTGGCGCACTATCACAAAAGCATGGTCTGTGGTTCTGATCTGGGAACCATGGACGCCAAGGCCAACCAAGCTTGCCATCTGTCCGGGGAAGGTTTATTGGTATCAGACTCGCCTGGGAGGATAAAAGCACTGACTGCATACATTGGCTGGCCACCTTAGTTACTGTATAGGCCACCACGCATTCAAAGCGCCACCGCGATATGGAGTCGAGTGCATGAGCTCATCCCTTTGACGGGATTGTTTAACGCTCAAGACTTTACATTACCCTTGATATTTTTTCGCCACTTTTGAAATGGGCATTCTCAACAGCAACCGGTTTACTTTCATTTCATTGGGCAGTACAAGGAATCTTAGAAAATTTTAATCGACCTGAAAGATACAATATTACTGACAAGTCGCGTCTTGGAATTGCCTGAAATGAAAGTTATTATCCTAAGTGGAAAATCTTGTCGATTATATCTAGCAAGACTTATAAAATATTGTAAGGCTTTACTTCAGCCTGGGCCTTAGCGCTTGGACCAACTAGCATGAACCACCTCTGACGACTTTCGATAGTGTTTTTCTTTACTAACTGTTGATTTGTATTTTTTTTCACTAATAGCAGCAAGCAAAAAATGAAGTAGCCCGTAAACGGAACAGGTTCAGGCGCTGGCGAGCCTTGACCTATGCAGAATGCACAAATCATCAAGCGGACCAGATATCTTTTTGTTTATGAGCAATATGAATATGTTGCAACATTATATTTCTTCTCAGTGTTCCTACCTCGGGGCCAGCATGTCACCTATTCTAAGCTCAAATTTCGTAAGCAAACCTGCGAACCTGCGAAAACAATGACTTCACAAATCAATCTTTCTCATAGATAAAATGATTTATTGAAGACGTCGGAAGAGAAAACATTGTTAGAACTCCCTGCTAAGAGGCTATTCCTAAACTTGTGTTCGAATACCCGCAAGCCAGCTTCAGTTCTTAGAATACCACTCTGCCTTCAGAGCCACTGTGCTGACCAGCAATCCCAGGGCTTTGGTACGCTGCAAATAAGTGCGTATGATAATTTGTTAAGGCTATCTATGGAAATAAGTAGCTGCTTCGATTGGTTCACACAGGGAACAGGTTGAAACATTCAGGCCTACACAAACGCTTGCAACCCTCATTGACTCCAAGGAGAGCAAATGGGAAAATTATGGGCTACTGTGTTGGGGACTAATGGGTGTAATGTGAATGTGATACCCAAATTGGACACAATGTAGAAGGTGTAGTTCGCTCTCGAAAGCAGTGGCGTTGAGGACTAGCAAACTATGTACGAGTTATGACAATCTACGGCAAGGAGCTAGGAAGACAAGAGCTTCATTACTCTCATGAAGGGAAAAAACGGATTACCCTTATGTACGACTGTTCAGAGGGATCCAAATAGTACCGTGTGGGATTCTACGTTCTAACTGCGCCTGGTTTGGCTCGTCTCAGATCCCATTTGATAGAAATTCTCTTTTGAATCAATAAAAGGTCCATTCTCGAAAGAGTTGAGCAAGAAGATTAATCAGTGAAGATCAATGGTTGATTGATTGATTGATTGAAGCTTTTAAGCTTTGTCCTATTTCAGGTTCGGCGACATATGGGCTTATCGGTGCCGGACGGCGAGTCGTCGGACGATTCCCCAAGCCCGTCACCGGCTTTTCCTTTTCCGATGCAGGACATGAAACTGCACACATCACCGTCCAGAAAACGTGGTTTCTCCATCGATTCACTACTTGCTGATGACCTCTAACGCCTCCTCCTTTTCTTCTTCCTTCTCTCTAGTCCTGGACTTTCCAATTAACTTGCCTGTCTTGTATTTCAACGTCCCGGTTCTCTGAATGATCTCTCTGTATTTGAAGTTGTGTCGGGTGATTTTATAATAAGATTTCGAAAACATGAACATCTCTTTTGAACCCACACAAACGCTACATCCTGAGTGTTAATAATTGGTTGTGATGCTTTTGTTTGACCTGATGGCCAATTGCTTGTGATTTGTTGTTTGTTATGGTAATTAGACGACGTTAATTGGCTAAACGCTAAGGCGCGCTGTCGGGGGGCTTGTCTGCTCGTCGTTCACTTGCAGGTCTCTCTCCCTCTTCTCTCTGGACAGCTCGTCAGCAGTGCTTTTGCAACGACGTGTCTCCACTGAGCGCTCTTGTTCTGACTGACAATTGGCTGACGGTGACCGCTCAAGTTCCGGCGATTTCCGGATTGAATCTGTTTGATTGGCCACTCAACCACAACACTCTCCATCGTCATTTCATTCAGCACAGCACAAAATTCTCCACAACCTTCCACACACAAGTGCATGAGACGCCGCATATATCGGTATGCATGATTTGCCTCGAAATAACAGGCACAGAGAGCTCCAGTTGGAGAGATTTTTTTAGAGTAGCGACTAAACCAAGTCAATAAACCGGTCAACTCAAAATAAAAGGACAAAGGATAAAGTTTTCGGGCGTTAATCAATCCCGCCTGAGGTGTGCTCCCCGCACTTATATACAGGATCGTAGTGGCGTAAAGAGTGCGTATGTGGCCTATACAATGACTTGCAGTGGCCAGCCGATGTCCAAGTTAGTGCTTTTATCCTCCCAGACAAGTCTGGTACCAATGAACCGACTCCGGAGGTGTGAAAGACATGGTTAGCCAGGGCGGATATCGATCCGTGATTCGAACCTATGACCGTGCGTGTGAGATAGTGCGCCACTTGCCACTACACCACCTCCGCCCTTCAAGTCAAAATAGCCAAAATTTAATATGATCCGGAAGACGAACAACTCGAGTGAGTTCGAAACAGCCATACAGCAGTACTTCCGAGTATCAGAAAACATTGGCCTACCTATTCCGAAAATGAAAAGCGTTGAAAAATTAGTACAAGTAAGTGCCTGACGTGCTCGCTCAAGATGTTCGCTGATTCTGATGTCTCGGTTGCGCCAGGCACTTGGTTTTATTTCAGAAAGGCTATTGCTTATTGAATGGGTGTCGCCCTAAATAATTCTGATTGATATTTTCTGACCAAACTTTCCGGCACAACTTCCAAACTCGATTACCTTGTTTTAACTTCACTTCTGAACAGACCTCTTGTCAATCCACCGGTCCTGGATGAAGAGCTCCTGTGGGCATCTATGTGCATTTTGACTCATGCCCCATGTTATGGCAATCGCGTCAATTGATTCTAAAGCTCCAAAGCTCTAAAGGAATAGAGGATGAGAAATTTTGTTGGTACAGCAAAGATGAGAGTAAAGAAAGCTCGATAAGGATTTCTGGTTTTCTTCAATAGCGCTTGTTAGGATGCCCTTTGAAATTCTGAAAATTATTTGAGAGTTTTGAATACTGCTGTTCCTCCTCGAACACTATGAGAGTCAACTGATGGTATTCTGGATAGTCCTCGAAGAGACCGACAAATGATCAAATTGAACGCTCCTAAGACACTGACATGACACCAGGAATACCATGCACAATTAATGCGAGAAGTGAAACCAATTTCACTCAAAGACACAGTTCACGATGATTTTGAAGTACCCGTGTTTATTCGAAAAGCGGAAGTTAGGTTGGGAATAGTTCAACGGCAGAGAGGAAAGCGGGAGAAATCGCCGATTTCGAGAAAAATACGGCTCCTCAAAAGTAGGGAAAATAGAGGTTGGACGAGATTGTCATGACGAAAATAACATGGGAGGGGCATTCGGACGAGATTTCGGTTATTGCAATTGCATAAAAAGCTGATTACATCAAGCCACAACTGTACAGAACTGTCTTCCATTGTCGCTATTGGTCATGACAAGTTGTTTGAACTTCCTACATGGATTCCCTTGTGATCGGTGCAGTCTCTATATTGCCAGTGAAACTCGTCCGAGGATTCATACGGGCCAATCTTTGAGCCCTTATAACTCCCAAACTAAGCCGTTTTCCACTCTAATGGTGCCAGATATGGTATACGCGGGGACCTCAAATTTATCCTGAGGGGGAATCTCAGGAACCATTTTTATCGTGAACTGTGCCTTTAAGCCTACCAACAACAAGCAGGCGTAGCATAGTAGAAAGAGCAGCTCAGTCCTTAAAAGAATTCTAAACAAAGATGAAGTCTGTGGGCGTTGGTCAATCCCGTATGAGGGATGCGCCCTCGCATTCGCCTCCCATTGAGAGTCCCAGTGACATATTGAATGGTGTGTGGCCTATACAATGAGTTGAAGTGGTCAGCCGATGTGCAAGTCACTGCTTTTATCCTCCCAGATCCGTTTGATACCAATTAACCGACCCCGAAGGTATGGAAGCCTTGGCCTGCTCAGGCAAATGTTGAGCCGGGATTAAACCCCGT